GAAAAAGAAGGGGGGAAAATAAAAGCGAGATAAGAAAAGAAAAAAAAGAGCGAAAAGAGAGAATGAAGTGGAAGAGGGGAAGAGACTTTTTATATGAGGAGAATACTCCTTTAGAACTGCCACTAATCCCAGCAAATTACAGCAACAGCTCCCTGTATATGGATGCAAACTAGAAACAACCAATAATATAATGATGAAAATAGAATGGAGAACACTAATCTCAAAATAAAATAAAGAGAAAATAAAATGGCACTTTAAAAGATGGTAAAATGGTAGCAGTAATAATACTGGTTAAAAATGAGAAGGTAGTAATTTAAAGGGTAAAATCAGGTGATGGAAAAGGAAAAAAAAAGAAGAAAAAAAAGGGAAAAAAATTGGTTTCTTATTTAAAAGGTGAAAAAAGAAAAAAAAATTGCAGTAGTGAAGGTCCTTCGGTTCTTCTATTCTTCAGTCTGGCTCGCCTTTAGTCCTGCCAGGTATTCAGGAGAGTGTTGGGTTTCCCTGCGATACACTGTTCCTCTGTGTTGTAAACCACAGTCCTTATTTTAAAGCAGGCTGGATTTTTTTCCTAGCCTGCTGCCTTATTTGTTTAGCAAAGAGTCAGTTTGTGGCTCAGCCTCTGGGCGGCAGTGTTCTGGGGTTGGCCTCTGAGGCTATACGGCTTCTCTATCGCACCTAAAACTGATTTGGAGAGGTCAACTATCCAGAGCTGGTTCCTTAATAGTTACCCGCTCTGTGTTGTTGCTGGGATTCCCCATTCACTTCTTTACTGTGATCTCAGCACAGATGCATTTCCACTGACCACTCAAGACTACCTCTTTACTTCTTATGTGGTTCTGGTGATAAGAATGTATTTAGCCCAGCCCGTGTGGCTCAGCGGTTGAGTGTTGACCTATGAACCAGGAGGTCATGATTTGATTCCTGGTCAGGGCACATACCTGGGTTGTGGGCTCGATCCCCAATGTGGGGCTTGCAGGAGGCAGCCGATCTCATCATTGATGTTTCTATCTCTACCCCTCACTGAAATATATATATATATATATATATTTTAAAGAAAGAGCGTTTTTAAACTTTATCTTTTTTATATATATATTTTTTATCTTTTCTTTTATAAAATGACAGTATTCTGCCAATCTCTCTTAAATTGTTTCAGTTTGAAGGTAAGTGCTGTATATGATTTAAAGTAGTTGTCCAGATGTGTATTGAATAATTTTAAATGTGTTTAATAAGTGTAAAGTGTTACAATTGATGTTGTGATTTCTAGTACAAATGTCATTTTCTGAAAGCTTTTTCAAATTTAGAAAATGATGTAGTTCTAACAGTTCTTCATTGTCATAGATTTTCATAAAGTTAATGAGTAAAATTGTAGTTCAATATTAAAGAAATTAGTGTTTTTGCTTATTTATAAAATAATGTAAAGTTCTGTGTTTTCTTTTATAATAGCATGATATCCTGTACTTACATTAATACCTTAGTTAACTAGCACAATTGGAATTGACCCAGATGCTAGATTAACCAAACTATGCAAGCAATGAGGACTTTGCTTGAGCATAGCTCACTGATGTTCCTTCTGGGATATAGTAGGACTAAGTATGAAATTCTGTTAGGAGCACTGTTATTCCTAGTTGACCTTCATTTATATACACATGAATATATCTGTTCATGAACAAAAGTCTTAAATCTAGTAATCTTGCTTCGTGTTCCCTTCCAAAGTCAAGCTGTCTCTGATCATTTTACCTATCCATAATGTGCACTTGACTAGGCCTAATATGTAAGTCATTCAGAGGGGAAATTATGCAGGACAAAAGAAAGCCTTAGAAGTTCTTGGTAAATAGTAGCTACCTTGTAGTTAACCCTACCCAACCTAAGCATTTCTACCCTTGTACCCTATTCCCCTCTTGCATGCACTGCCTCATGACTTTCGATTTACCCAAGTCAAGCCTTCCCAGAGTAACTTCCAAAACCCTTTTTTAAATCTCAAGGCTTCACTTCTGGATTGCTTGTCCTTGGTGGGAATGCTTTTAGGCCACAACCTTAGTGCTGCTGGCCTGCGGATTCCACTTAAATCTGTGACTAAGGCATCAAATATAAACATATCCTCTTCCTAGCCTTAACTCTCTAACATTTTTATTTTTGCCAGAAGAAAGATGATTTAATTATTAGAGGCATTGTTTTTAAACCACCCATTAAAGACTCTATTAGGTATCAGGCTTATCCTTAGTCAAACAGCTGCTAGGAAATTGACCACGAGAAGGTAGATAGTGTTGAAGAGACATAAAGGACCTATATGGTCTGAGACAAATAGGGCCAAGATGAACTTTGTAAAAATGTTCTGTGAAGAAGTGAATGGCATTAATCGCTTACTGCTTCATGTATTTTAGAGGTAATTTTACCTTTAATGAAGTGCATAAATGAAAGGTGTAAGAAAAAATCCAATAAGGAGCTTAATCTCCTCATGACAAAAAAAAATAAGCAGTATTCCACCCCAAATATGAAACTGCAAAATAAAAAAAATCTCAATATAGAAATAAAGATAAAACTAATATTTTCTACCTGTCCTTAATAAACATTACATGATTTATTCTCAGTCTATCAAATTCATAGGCTCTTTAATAAATTGGATTAGTTGGACAGGAATCAGAATAAGTTCTGCCTCAGTTTGGTTTTCACTTAAACTGCTCATGTCTCTTTATCTTTTCCCTGGAATGTAATTACACTTACCTCTTATGAATAAGTGAATTGTACTTTTGAAATGATTGTAAATCCCTGTTTTGGAAAATGAACATAATAGATATGATTATGTTATAATGTGCCAGTAGATAGAAAGCATGTGTGTGTGTGTGTGTGTGTGTGTGTGTGTGTGTGTGTCCCATAGAAAGCTTTTTAACTTCTTTAGAAGCATTCTTTAGAGACAGCGAGACAGCCCTGGTAGCAAATTTAGTTTCCATGTTAACCATTTCATAGATAGGTGCTAATATAATTTTGGGAATTCTAGTCATTAAAAATGAAATAGAGCAACAGACACAAAATGCTTGCTAATATAGTAACTTGATATACAGCATGGGTTATGCAGCATTTATTTCTTTGACATAAGTATTTGAACTCATATCCATGTGTTCTTTGAGATAATATTAGTTATGACAAAATTTACAAGTTATGACAAGATTTACAAAATAAATCTCTGTGTTTTTTTAAAGAAAACCTAACTCTTTCTTGATTATCAATTTTGCCATAGAATCGCACACTTCCAGAAGACAAGGCAGAGGAAATTAATGAACATCTGGAAGACAGGAAGAAATCTGTGGGAGACAATAAAAATGTTTCTGCAGATGACCTCAGTGAAATCAGCGACAATTCAAATGTTCCTGCAGATGACCTCAGTGTAACCAGCGTCAATTCAAATGTTCCTGCAGTTTACAACAGTGAAACTAGTGACAATTCAATTGTTCCTGCAGGTTACCAGATTGAAACCAGCGACAACTCAATTGAAAAGGTATTGACACCATTGAAAAGATATGATGATATGTGTTTAAATCCTATGATCCTGCCTAAGAGAAAGCATATGGGTTCCTTGGTCTCTGCAGAAGGCAGATTCCAACTTCCATTGGGAGAAAAACTATTTCTATGAATAACTTTGTTCATGCAAATTTATGAATGAGGCACACTTTGTTTCTAGCTCTCTTTCCATACTTCTTGCTAGTTTTCTGTTCCCTGCATGAGTGGATATCAACTAATGTGGGCCAGTATAGTACAGTATACTGTTGAGAAATTAACAATGAAGTTCAGCACTGGGTCTTTGAAATAATGAAAATACAAAGTTAGGGGCACTGTATTGGTGGCAGAAATGGGATGTGTGGGTGCCTGCATACATGTGTTAATTTACATGTATAGGGACAAACTAAAGTTCACAAGAGTGTGATCTGTTCTGCAGAGATGCAGTCTAGAAGAAATTATTTATGGGAGGAAGAGAAGGAGGTATCACTGAGGAAGAAAAAGCCATCCTAAAGATGGAGCTAGAGACATCAAAAACATCTCTTCCATTTGGTAGTTTTGCCTAATAATGACCCTGCTAGGAGACAAATGGAAGTTTTGAAATAATTAATTTGCTAACACTAACCTGGATTAATTTCAAAGATATCTAATTCAGAAACCCAAATTGAATGACACTGTATTGATTCATTTTTGTTTTCATTTTTTGGACCTCTTGTACAAAACAATGAGTTAGTCATGCTTTCTCATTTATGAAACACTATTATCACTGGTCTGGGCAAAGATCCCTCTCTTTATTGAAATTGATCCCTTTTTAGCCCCATTTCCCTTCACCCTAATATGGACAATCATTGAAACATATTTGTCCTTTTATTTGAATCTGTATGTTTAAAACATGTATTGTTTGTAGTTTTGTGTGCATGTATTTTTTATTTACAAGATGGTATTGTGTGTAGAGGTCATTTTCTTTCTTTTTTTAACGTTTTTATTGATTTCAGAGAGGAAGGGAGACGGAGAGAGAGGTAGAAACATCAATGATGGGAGAGAATCATGAATCGGCTGCCTCCTACACGCCCCACTTTGGGGATTGAGCCCACAACCCTGGCATGTGCCCTGACCAGGAATCAAACCATAACTTCCTGGTTCAGAGGTTGACACTCAACCACTGAGCCAGGCAGGCTGGGAGTCATTCTCTTTCTTGATTCTTTCTTTTTCCAAGACTCCTTCCTCTCAGAAAAAAAAAAAAAAATGTTTATTAGTTGTTGCTTTTTTTTCCCCAGAGGGAGGGAAGGATTCTATTTATAAGGAGCATTTATGAGTTACAGTTAGGGTGGTCCCTACAATTCTTCAACATAGAACACATTAAACTCCAATTTGACATTGTAAGATGCTAAGCTAAATCATATACCGATTAATATTCCTGAATGTTCTTTTAGTAGAGTTCTTGAATCATACAATATTTTTTGAATCATACAATTTTAAGCTAAGAGTGACCTTAGCAAATCACTCAGCATTGAGGCAACAGCCCAGCAAAGTGAAATAATTGACACATATTTGTGTTAATAGCTAGAGGCCGACTCTAGAACCCTACTTAAAAAGCAAGACTAGGTTTTCTAGCACAGAAAAAATATGTTTTTTATTATATTGTTTCTTTATTGTTTATAGGACAAAAAAAACAACCAAGAGGAACCAGCCATTTCTGAATACAATGAAAATCTAAAAGGTGTGAGCACATTTGACTTCAAAAGTATGCTTTTAGAAAAGCTATATATATATACATACATACATACATACATACATACATATGTACATACATATATATGCATATATGTGCCTTTATTGAGTAGTTTACATACATATACTCTATTTTATACTTTTTACTGTCACATGACTCATAACAAGCTATGAAATATGTGACATGAGCTTATTTGTTCTCATTGATAGCCACCACAGCTTTTTCACACAAAAATAATCATGCTACTCCTAGCTGCTCATATGTCATTTTCAAGTGGTTTAGGACAGCCTTTTCACTACCTTTATTTTTCTTTTCAACCAGTAGTTTTAAGTTAAGCTTTTGCCCCAAATTTCAATTTGTATCTCTGGTGAGCACTGCCAGACTCCATTGCCGATGACCAGGCTGGCCTAGAGCCACAGCAAGCCTTCCAGCTTTCCCCCAGATCTCAGACCTAAGTCTTTGATCTTACCACAGATATTTAAGAGGAATCCTTTCCCAGGTCTAGCTGTTGGTGTCAGAGAACAAGTGCCGCAGCATAGAGGAGACCTACATTTTCTACACCCAAATCATCTGTGTTTTTGCTGTATGACCCCTATGTTACATTTCCATACCATCACATCACAGTGTGCTTTTTACTGTGTTCTCATTAAAAATATCTGTCATAATAGTAGATATTTTATCTGAAATTTAGCATAGAAGTAGTTCCCTTGTTACTTTTTCCCTTCCAACTTCTGCAGATAGACTAGAAAGTTTTAGAATATTTTAAGAAAAATCCTATCTAATAATAGAGAAACATGGTAATTAGCCATACCTCCGCTACCCTTCCCATTGGCTAATCAGCAAGATATGCAAATTAACTACCAGCCAAGATGGCGGCCGGCAGCCAGGCAGCTGAAGCGAACATGAACATGAGGCTTGCTTACTCCAGTGATGGAGGAAGTCAACGTTCCCCGCCTGCCTCAGCTCAGCTCTGAGCTCCGGATGAAACAATGTTGCAATTATAGAACCTAAACAAACCCCAGAAACCTGCTTTCAGCCAGCGCGGCCTCAGAGCTTAGAGCAGCCAGTGATGGCAACAGAGTTTCAATTATAGAATCTAAACAAACCCAGGTACCTGCTTTCAGCTGGCAATGGCCCCAGAGCTGGAGCCTGCTCTCATCTCCAGTGACAGCTATAGAAGGTAAATTAATAAAAGGGTGATATGCAAATTGACCCTAACAGCAGAAGGACTGGGAATGACTGGTCACTATGACACACACTGACCACCAGGGGGCAGGCGCTCAATGCAGGAGCTGCCCTCTGGTGGTCAGGGCGCTCTCACAGGGAGGAGCTCTGCTCAGCCACAAGCCAGGCTGATGGCTGCCTGTACAGCGGTGGTGGTGGGAGCCTCGCCTGCCTCCTCAGTAGCGCTAAGGATGTCCGACTGTAGCTTAGGTCTGCTCCCCACTGGCAAGTGGACATCCCCCGAGGACTCCCGGTTGCCAGAGGGATGTCTGAGTCCTGGGCTCAATCCTCTGGGAAGCGAGACTAAGCCAGCAGGTGGTCATCCCCTGAGGGGTCCCAGACTGCGAGAGGACACAGGCCAGGCTGAGGGACCCCCGATCCCCCCCCAAGTGCACAAATTTTTGTGCACCGGGTCTCTAGTGTTAAAATAGTTAACATCTCTAAGTATTCTTAGCATATAGCCTAAAATGTTAAAAAGAAGTTGAATATAATATTTTAAAGTTGGTAATATAAATTAAAATAATGCATTGCTTCATGAGTATCCTTTAAAGATCATTATTTAACTATATAACATGTGGATTAATTTGGAACACAAAAATAATGTCCATTTGAGTAAAAGGGATTTAATTATAATTTTTTAAAACATAATTTATATTTTACAGAAGTCTTTCCTAGCATGTACTGTTATCTATGTAGCCTTCTAAACTTTTACAGCATTGGTCAGGTCATTCTTGGCTTTTTGCCTTAACTCAGTTTTTCAGGAAATGTGCAGTTTGGACCTTTCCCATTATTCCAGTGGTATGGTCTTTTATTATTACTCTATAATTCAGGATTGATAGAGTTCCACTGAAAGCATCACAACTTTTCTTTTTCTGATTAGTTAGGAAAATTTTTTCTAAATATATTCTATTGTAGGAAACATATGTGAGCTTGCAAAGAGCAGTTCTTCAAAAATCCTGGAGGATAGTAAATCCATACCAAGTAAAGATAGGAAAGTATCGAAGAAGGTAAGTGAAATGAACTTCTCATTTTAATATTAAGACCAAACAAAGTATTGAATTGCTCCTTCTACTTTTTATATGGTGATTCACATAATCTAACTTCTTTAATATGAGTTTTTATGCCCAGAAACATGAAGAATTTCAGGTGATGTTTCACATTTTTAATGTGTACATTTGTTTATTATTGGACTTTAGATTATGAGTCAGGTAGTTCTTCCAAAATTTAATAGCATATTTTTTCAGTCATTCCATCCATGCTGACTCATCATACAAAAAAAGATTTGTAAAATAACTTTATTGCTTAAATTATAAGTGCATAATAATCAAGAGAGTCTAGAAGAGAGTAAGGCAAAGCCATGAAATAGGGTGAATGAAAAAATAAAGATGGTTGTGTTTAGGAAACATTACAACATGCTACTTCAGTCTCTCAGGAGATGACTAATATATGTTTTGGAGTTGCTGAAAGTCAAAGGAATATGTTTCTTCTCCTTGAAAGTAAGTTTCTCTTTTCACTTTCAGAACTTGCTTTAATTATGAGACCATATTTCAGGGTAGAAGAGAAAACATGGAAGACAAGACAAATGAAAGGCCTTCTTAGTTCCTAGTCAACCTTCAGGCCTCAGCTTAAATGTAATTTCCATATACAGGCCTTTTATGACCAGCAGCACTTATGTAAATTATTATAGCCCATTATTATTGTCTCACATAACACTTTTCTTATCCTTCTTAATATTTCAATTACATAGTCATTTGTATATCTATTAGCTTTATGTTTCTATCCTCCCTCCCCACTGGCCTTCAGTTCCATAGGGACAGAAATGATAATCTATCTTGTTTTTCAGTGCATCCTCATCACTTATCACAGTTTCTGGTATGTGGTAAATACTCAGTAAATATTTTTGGTTGACAATGAGTTGTAAAATATAAGGAAGTAAGAAAGAGGAAAGGGTGAAGGTATAAAAATTAGGAACTGCACTTAGAGTAAACAGCCTGTCTTTTGCAAGCTTTGGAGGTATATGCCACTCTGAAATTCCTTTCAGAGTTACTTTAGAAATTTCAAATGCTATTTGGCCATGATGCCCATATTGTTATCTTTTGCTAAAAAATAATTTATGACTATTTTTTTCTTTATAAAAATTATTTGATAAATTTGGATTACTATACCCAAAAGATAATTGCGACCTGGCTCAAAGGACACTTTGAAGTGGCTTTAGAATTATATCAGATGTATCATCAGAACATTTGATCAAGGTTTAGGAACTTTTTAAATGCTCTGTCTAGTAGACCAGGACATTTAACAGATAGTATACTATGCTTCATAGCATTCCAATTATAAGAGTTCAGGGAAAGCATCTGGAAAAAAAATTAAATATGAGGGAGGAAGGTGAAAAGTGAAAGAGCCGGCAGACATAAAAACATAAGGAGAAGAAAAGTGAAGTGAAGCTGCCAAGAAAAAAAAAAAAAGATTATTGGAAAACATACCTCTGACCAAATGAAAACGCATATTCTAGAATCCATGGTCAGATTTCAGTGGCTGTTCAGGCTGTCCAGTCTTCAGCATTGCTTGTAGGTGGTAGAATTTAGATATACAGTACAAGAGAGAGGCCCAAGCCAGGGAAGGAATGCTGTGCGGGAGGCAGAATAGCACCCACCTGTAGAAGCAGACCAAGCAAGGTGCCCGAGTGCCAGCATTAGTGGATGGGACAAAGGTAAGGTTAGGCCAGGACAAGTGCCAGACTGAAGAATTCAGTCTTCAACTTTGATTCTGCTTAAATTCTCATTTATACCTAGTAGAAAAATATATTTCAGTATATACACATTTCCTTGGCTAAAAGATAATGAAAATTATATTAAACAATCATGAACTAATAAGTATATTCCCTACTTAAGGAATATGCTGTTATTCTACATATTTTTAAAAAGGAAATCATTTGAATGAGATTTTTTTTCAATCATTCTCACATGACATTTTTATCTACAGTGTCTCTCACCTATTTATATTATCCAAGCCAAACAAACCAAACTGTTTTTAAAACTTGGGAAAAGTAGTTCATTAACACATCCTATATAATAAAAGACTAATATTCAAATTGTCCCTTCAACTGGGAGTTCAACCGGGAGTCCAACCAGGGGGCAGGGCTAGCCAGCCAACTGCCCACGGCCCCTCCCCCTGGATGGCACTGCCCCCCGATTGTCCCCCTCCAATCAGGTGCAGGGCCAGCCCACCAACTGCCTGTGGCCCCTCCTCCCAGCCAGCCAGGCTCGATCAGTCCCGATTGGGGTAGGCCAGCCGGACCCCACCCATGCACAAATTCATGCACCAGGACTCCAGTATCAAAATAAACATGTGTTTGAGATTTTGTATGTCTTCTTCTTAATTAAACAAATACTTTAATGATAATCTAAAAAAGAAAAAGAAAGAATTGCACTCTTCTACAAGACAGAATTCACCATTGAATTTTGTTTTCATAATTTTAAATGATGCAGATAGCCAGGTTGGCACCTATGGTTTTCATTAACAGCAGAGATCTTTTGGAAGGTGATTGTTATATCTAGAAATTACCAAATATTGCTTTTATAAACTATAGTCAATGCTGATTATTTGGATCCACAGTTAGCCACTCAGAAAATTGTGTCATTGGCTTGATTTCCTTCCACTCTAATAAACTGATTAAAAAAGCGGTAAATTTTTCAACTATTAAAAATTTATTTTCATTGTGGAACTAGTTCATTCTTGTATTTACTTAGCATATATTAATTGGGTATCTCTTATGTCCCAGGCACAAGGCTAGAGGCTGCAGATACAGAGGTTAAAGATCCAGTGCCACTTTGAAGTCAATAGATTTTTTATTCATTGTCAGTCCCATAAATGAAAGTCTGAGATGAGAATTTTTCTATCAAAAGTATGCCTGTGTATTTTTGCCTTCCTGGCAACTACCTTTTCTCTGCCATGTTCCAGCTAGTTTCTCAAGGAGGAATCATGATTGTCATTGGTAAAAGAAAAAAGGCTTATGAATGCTAAGAATATATATATGGTGTCCCATAAAGATGTGATGAAATAATGTTAAGACTTGTTGGAAATTATGCATCCCCCCCAATACTAAGTGAATATTTCACTTACTGAAATGAATTTTTTGTGTTTTTTCTAGACTTACCTTTTTAAAAGACTGTCATTGATGAGTATGAAAAGTATGCCGAATAATAATGAGCCACTTCCAGAAATTAAATCATTAAGAGATCAAATAGCTTTTAAAAGCAATAAGAAGAATTTCAAACAGAACCACATTGGGCAAAATAATCAGGATACGTCACCCCCAAATACTGAGAAAACGTCAAAATCCTGTGTACTACTTTAAATATATATTTGTGTGGTCACCATGCACATTGTAATTTATACTTGAAAAACATGACTTCTTAAGGAATGTTTCTGATAACAAACTTGAAGATATAATTTAATAATATGTTTTATTTGGTTTGAATAGTATGACCAGTTTTGATATTTATTTATGATAATATTTTGACAAGCAATTTCACAGTATGTGTATCATCTCAAACTCTCTAAGTGTTGTGGCCTTAACTGTTCAGTGTTCCATAAAAATATATTTTTATATGTGAAGATTGAATTAAGAAATTTTACAGTTTTAACTAAACAGTTTTACATCTTATAATATCAAAAGGCAATATTTACAAACTCAAAAACTATTATAACAGTTTTTAATGTATTTGCAATTTTTAAAAACTATCAAAATTGTTTAATGAGAATATTTTAATAAACTATATCTGGTCAGTTACACTGTTTAAATAGGTGACGATGAATAAAATTTGGGGGTACTTGGACTTATCAATTGACAAAATGGGGGCAAAAAAACTAATTTTAAAATATTCAAAGCTATAAAATGCTTTTACCTCTAAGGAAATTTATGTATAACTGTAAACAGTACATCTTTATAGAGAAACTGTCTTGAAATTTCTTTGCCTCCCACTCCTTTCTTCAGGGAAGCGATTTGGCATGAAGACATTGCAGATTATGTGGATCTAGAGTCTTTGACCACAGATCCCCACCACAGCAGAACCAAACATACCCAGTCTTCCTATTTCAGCTGTTTCTAGCATTGACAGTTGGCTCTAACACACAGTGCTCTGCCACAGGTATAGAAAGGGTAAATCTATTAACTCTATACCAATAGAGACATTGCTTTGCTATGCTCACAAATGATGCTTACTTAATGGAGCAAACTACATTCATCATCCCCATTCTAGCTTCTGAACATTTTCTTCTTCAATCACAGTGGTCACTGTCCCAGTTAAACAAATAAAAAGAAACATCATCTTTGTGCTTTATTCACAAGGATTGTGAGGATGCTAATTTAGAGTAGATGTGATTTTAAAATCTTAGTGTTCTGTGTAAATATTAATTTAGTTAAATTCTAATTTTATTAAAGATAAATTTAATAAAATGTTTTGCTATTTCCCCTTATAGTAATAGCACAGTATTGCAAAAATACTTTGCCAAAATCTAAACTATAGGAGCCAAGTGGAAATAAAGCTCACAAATAGGACTAAGACAGGCCAGTTGTAGTAGGCAGAATTCTAAGATAGCCCCAAGGTTCCTGCCTGTTGGTATACTTGCCCTGAATAGTCCCTTCCCCTTGAGTGTGGGTGAGGGATTATGGAAAGATACCACTTTATTACTTAGGTTACATTATATGAAAGGTTTTACAGATGTAATTAAATTTCCTAATCTGTTAACTTTAAGCAAAAGGGAAATAACAGGAGGTAGGCCTGACCTAATCAGGTCAGCCCTTTCAAAAGGGGCTCTAGAGCTCAGAGATGGAAGAAGTCAGAGAAGTAGAGATGATTTTCTGTTGGCTTTGAAGAAGCAAACTGCCATGATATGGAGAGTCATGTGCCAGGGAAAATTGAGAACCCTCTAGTATCTGAGGGCCTCCATCCTACAACTGGAAGGCACTGAATTCTGCCAACAACCAGTGAGCCTGGAAGAGAAACCCAGTCCTCAGATGAGACCACAGCACTGGCTGAAGTCTTATGAGGCCTTGAGCAAAGGACCCAGTTAATCAGTGCCCAGGCTCCTGACCCATGAACACTGTAGTTTTAATCCACTGTTTATGGTAATTGTCATGCAGCAATAGAAATGAATACCAGTCTTATTCTGTGGAAGGGTTTCTCCATATGGTGGCTTCCTTCATCAAAGAGTCAATAGAGTCTAATAGTAAGACAGGTGTCAGAAAGATAATCATGGAAGTGATATCCCATCACTTTTGACATGTTCTGTTAGAAGCAAGTCACAGGCCCATCTCACACTCAAGATGAGGGCATGACACAAGGACGTGAAGACCAGGAGGCAAGGATCACAGGGGTCATCTTAGAGCCTACTTGCCATACCACTCGTTTGGCTGCTCATTATAAAGGAGAAAAGGAAGAATTAAGTCAAAGCACTTGGAAGAGGTGAACATGAGACAAGCATAAACAAACTAACAAAGTATCCATGTTTTGTCAGAGGTGTCAGAATAATTCACCCTGTTTACTAAGGTGCTTCATTGAGGATAAACACTGAGTGATTTTTCATAGTACTTTTATAAATACTTTTGTAAAAACATCATACCAGCCATCTTCCCTTGGACTGTGAATACTTGTATTATATTTATTTTCCAATTTTTGTTTTCATATTTGGTTTTTACAGTGAAATACTGAACACTTCCTACATGCCAGATACTATACCAGAAACTAAGAAAATAGAAGTCACAGTTATGGTGGAGTAAAATGAAGAAAACACATCATCATTTAGAGATATTAGGGTAATTTAAAAACCCAAGTTTCCTAATTGAATGAAAAGGAGATTAGTGAACACTAAACTTCACACAAACAAAAAAGCTAAGCTAACATATTTAAGAATTCAAAAAAAGAGAAAAGATCATGTTATGCCCAGATTTCAGGATCCCCAAAAGACCACCAGGGAGTCAGCTGAGTCCGATGCAAAAGCAAAGAGTCTTTGTTCGAGCTAGCTCCCCGACCACACTCACTGACGCAGCAGCAAGCAGCAGAGAGTGAGCTCTGTGGGAAGAGGGGTTTTATAGGGGGGGTGGAGTAAGGGGAGGAGAGAGGACTGTGGGCCCTGCCGATTGGCCAGGCGCAAGTTGGTGTCTTGTTACACAGGATGTGGTCGTATCTATGGCGCTCACTTCCCTTAATTATCATTGGTTAATTTAAAGAAATCCTAGGTGTGGCTAGCAGAGGCTTGGGCTTCCAGGAAGAAGCTCCTTGCCGAGCACATGGCTAAGGCTGCTGCCCCAAAATGGAGGATCCGGGGTAAGATGGAGAGCGTAGCCCTCGCCCTGGGTCAAGATGGAGGGCGTAGCCCTCACCCTTTTATTCCCCCCTTGTCTTGAGACTTCCGGCTCAATCATGAGACGGACTGCATTTCTGTTTCACCGTTGCTAGAGGCCTGTACTGGGCGTGTAGAACTATCAACTGAACCACCCCTATATGCTTCTTGACAAATTGGACTAGTCTGTTAATAATGCAAGGGCCGGAAGTCAACAGCATTAGGAGGATTCCAAGGGGTCCGGCGAAGTCCACTGTCTTCTTGAGGGTGATCTGTAGCGGGTGTGTTTGGTTAAAGGTCATCTTCCACTCAGGCTCCCTGCTGTCCTGGGCACAGAAAGAGCTGGGCTTGTGACCTGGCAGAGACAAACTATAACAAATGGTCCAGTGGAAGGGAAAGAAACCATTTTAGATTTAACAACTTCTATTGAAATAGGATTTTTCTTCTTAAAATTCCTCCATGGCTATCAAAAAGCCAAATCAAGATTAGTTTATCTACTGTAAAATTTTGGTTACCAAGGATTGTAGACCATCACCGGTCTACAGCAACTGCTGGCAGCTACAGCTACATTTAAACCTGTAAGAGAATCAAAGGTTAATACAACATATTAATACAGTGAAACATAATATTGGCACCATGGCCACTTCAGGCAGCCAAATCCTCTGCTACTAAACATGAGATATGGCAGGGCTATACAAACATCTTAGGGAGGTGACTAAAGTCCATTCCTGACCCTCCTATATAAGGCTAAATTGTCCTCGTCTCTCTCGAGCCATGTCCATGAAGATGCAGGCATTACCTGAGTCTATTATACAGTTTTCTGCAAGTCACTGTCAGGGCTGTGCACTGTGGCCAGTTCTTTCTAGCGATAAACACAGTCTGTCCAATTTCCTTAAAATGTATTCTGGCACAGGAGAAAGTTGTTTTGCTGTACACAGGTAGCTTAACCCCTATACCACTGGGCTTGGACCTCTGCCCAGCAAACTGCAATCTACAAGTTCAATACGCAGCCTCCAGTTCTCCTAACCCAATGAGGTTTCGGCCAGTCTCTGAGTCAGACTTCTCCTCTTCTTGGAGAACTTCAAAGTCCTTATGACTTCCATGTCCAGGGAGAGTGCCCCTTTGTTAACCCTGCCCATCAGCCACAACGCTCCGCTCTCCTGCCTTTCCACCAGTTCCCTTTGTGGCAGAGCAGCAACCATGCCTCCTCCATGAGGATTCTAACAAACAACTGAAAACAAGTCAAACAAAACACAGTCACAGGCAGGGTTTGGAATGATAGGTGGTGGCCTGCCAAACATGATTTCATAGGGAGTAAAGCCCAGGGTGTAAGGGGAGTTCCTTACCCAGTAAAGGGCATACGAGAGGAGAGCCACCCAGTCCCCGCCAATCTCCGTGGTTAATTTGGTAAGGGTCTCCTTTAGAGTTCTGTTCATCCTTTCCACCTGCCCTGAACTAGGGCCTATAAGAATTTTCAATTTGCCCCAGTAGCCCTGGCTACTACCTGCGTTACCTGTGAAATAAAGGCTGGTCCGTTGTCAGATCCTATCATAACAGGAAAACCATACTTGGGTAAGATGTCTTCCAGCAGCTTACCACGAAGTGAAAATTTTGGTTAATACCTTTTGAATAATTATCTATTTCAAGTTAGCCAAATGTAATTAATTTGAAAACTTGACAACTATTTTACTGTCAAATTTAATACTCTAACAATAATTTTAATTTATATTCTTGTGAAGGCTTTGAGCATTCCTGTTGTTAGGCTAGATTTAGATATAGGGTCTGTTAGCCAAGCCTCCGTTTTTCTGGATTCTGATTTCAGCTGGACCAAATCTCTTCTATTTGGTTCCTGATCTGGGCTGGGCATGGGAAGCAAGAAGCAGCCATGGGGACAGGAGACCTTCCTCAGAAGGGCCGAGTGTTCAAGCCCGTGCACCATTGGGGCGGGTGAGGATCTGTGCCCCACCTTTGTTGCACCCCAAGTTTTCTCCTACTGGCCCCCAGCTGTGCCTGTCTTCGGCCCAAGTTCTCTCGTACTAGCTCCCCCCAACTGTGCCTGTCTTAGGTTGCCCCTCCCTGAAGGGTCTTACCCGTCATTGACTACCAGCCATCCTCTGGGCCAAGTAGGGTGATGTGAGGTTCAGTTCTGTCTCCTTGTTAACCTATGTCCCTCTGGCCTCCATGCCCAGCACCTGCCTTTGGATCCCCTCACCTGCCGGCAGGGCCCTGGCATTGATCATGGGGAATCCAGGTTTCTTCTCCACAGAGGGCCCAGCTTACACCATTAGGCAAGAGACAGATCCATGGTACCAGCTTTTCATGATCTCAGCTTGAATGGAGAGCTTAGATAACAGCTGTAAACAATTGGAATCCTCTTGGCAAAAAAAAGCTCAAGAGAGGTCAATACAGAATGCTTAAGTAACTTCCCCAGGGGGCCCTCCACACAGTGGAAGGGAATAAATCCTTTCCTGTCCTTAAAACATTCAAAGAATTCATTTGTAAGTTTGTTTGGGATAAAGCATCAAAAAAAATATTAATGACCATACTTCACTTTAGAAATTGGATTATTGCTATCAGTACCTTTTAAAGACTTTGACATAAGCTACTTAACTTTTGTTTAGGGAGGGAACATATAACCTTTAATTGTCCTTAGTTTAAGGAAAGCAGGGTTTTCTAGATTCAAGAGATTAGCTTAAAATATAGTATTAAATAAATCCGCAAGGCAATCACACTTCCTGCCCCATCCACATTTCTGTAGTAAAACTCCGCCTTAAAACTCCACCCCTGAAATCCCATCCTGCCTCAGTAAGCAGATATTCCTTTTGTGATTGGCTAAGTCAGAGGGAGGGGCCTTTGCTGTTTCAAGATGGCAGCCACCAGGGGAGCGGCAAGCCATGCAGCCAACATGGCGGCTGCCAAGTCACGCAGCCCAACATTGTGGCTGTCTAAACTGTTCTCTGACAGAAAAGATGATTTCCTCATTCTCACAACAAACAAGGGAAGAGCAAACCAAAATCCCTAAAAGATAGATGGCCAACATTATATTGCAGACAAACAGAAATCTCATTAGCTGTTTATACCTTTTATAATTATCTTAAAGAATATCAATTAAATTTAAACTGGTTTTTGTCTTAAAATTTTCAGTTGAGGTCATAAAATAAATCCTCTTTTTTTAATCAGACCAATAGGCAAAGGCGTTTATCTACCATAACACACAATTTCTCCCAATTCAATCCGAACCTTAAACTTTTAGCTGGCAAATCAAATCTTCAGCAT